ATTAATGTAAAAAAACTAATTACAAAGCAGGGAAAAAAAACCCAAACTGGCGAACCAATTTGAAAAAGCTCCACTTTGGTGTGAGGAAAAAAACAAAAAGATGAGTGTTTGGAAAAAGAATTATATTTTGGTGAAAACTCAAAAAAAACCCTGAAGAATAACCTTTCTAATCGGTAGGTTAGCATTATTTTTGTTTGCTAACCTACAAATAATAGTTATTATATATTAAAAACGATGCATGGTAGAAAATCTCATTTATAAAAAGGAAAATTATGCATGATAATAGCTAGCAAAACACCAAAATTGTAAATGAAATAAGTGTTTGGATGGTTTGTAAAAAGAAATAAAAAAAAGAGTTGAAGGATCGTTTCTATAACAAAAAAAAAAACAAAAAGAGTTGAAGGACCATTTCTACAACTTGGATGATTTATGAAGAACAAAGAAGAATGCAAGGCTATTTCAATAATGTGGATTCCAATTTCAATAAAATGAGACATTTTTTAAAGTATTACCTCCTAAGAGTATCACGTTTTGTTAATTTGCAGTATTAGGCTACAGTCGCCACCTCTCTCGCCAAACACTTGCTACCAATATTTACACCATCTTGTATGAGTCGCTAAGGGACTCGCCAGTGACGAATCACAACTGTAGCAGCGAGAAGAAAGAGAAGGAAAAGATTGACTGTGTTTGGTTGGGATTGTTTTTATTTATTTATTTATTTTTCAAAACAAAACCTATTAAATTTCTCTCACAACCACTCCCTACCTTTTTTAACATTTACAATATAAAAACCTATGCAACAATAAAAAATCCTAAATTGATCGCCTAAACCACATATCCAAATTCCACTAAATGGGTCGACCCTAAACCACATACCCTAATTATACGGACGAATCTTCCATTTACTCTATCCAACAATCTGATATCCTAAGCGATCCTTATTTGATCGAGTTTCATAACCACATATCCACTGCCCCAGATCTGATACTTTTGGACACCAGATGATAGTTGATGTTAAGTTTTCGGCACCTGATTGTGTAACATTCTGTTTTAAAATAAAATAAATAAAATAAAATAAATGAAATAAAATGAATAAAATAAAATAGATAAATAAATAAATAATAAACCCTAAAACCCCGAGATATATTTTAAATTTTATTTTATTTTATCCTTAAATCCGTAATAATTTATCAGTTTTAGCCATAAGAAGTTAAATGGTATAATTACTAGAATTTGGAGTCTATATTGTAATATTAGGACTTGAAATGTAAAAGATTTTGTGAAGGTAGGTGATTAGTAATTATTGGATTTAAATTGTAAAGAAATTGTAGAGGCAGGGACCAATCTCGTTAAAATACATCCAAGTTTGGTAAAACACGGACTTGAACCCGTGATTCCTTACCCCTCCCGTTTTTAGAGTGCAACACCCGAAAACCCTAACTCTACAACACTCTTTCAGCCGCCACCTTAATCCCGGGCATCCCAGCCGCCGCCGGCCTGCTGCTGTGAACAACCGCTGCCGCCACCTTCGTTCCTTGCTGCACCTAACCGCCGACCATCGCGGCTACCTTCCCTTCCGGAGAGAATGAGTGGCCACCGTGAGTGCGTCCGCTGCCACCATTCCTCCATCTTCTTCTTCTTCTTTCTGTCACCATCTGCAACCGCAACACGGCAGTTGTCGGTGCTGCTCCGACTGCCCCTCGCCTTCTTTCTGTCCTGCAGAAGCTAGCTGCCGCCGCCGCCGCTCGTACGGCCCTCCCATCCACTATCCGCTGCTCCGGTCGTCGTACCACCCCCGAAGAGGAAGAAACCAAAAGTTATGTCACTAGCTTTATCGTAGCTTTTATGTCATAACACACTTCTATCTGCATCTGTCTATGAGTCAGTTCAAAAGGATTTGGATTACGCACAACACAAACACTCCAGTCTCCATTATGTGTAATAGTTTGTGTGAATTGTTTGATTTAACAACACACACAATATGCATCTTCCTTAATGTGTGACCTAAAACATGATTTGAATTGAGTGTATGATCTGAATATTCGTGAATTTATTGAAATTTGGGTTAAATTATGTGATGAAGGCAACAACGATTTGTTAGGAATCGGACCGGGTACACGCAGCGGAAACACACTGTCACATACTCACAAACTCACGAAAAATAAAGCAATAAAGAACACAAGGATTTTACGTGGTTCGGATTCGGTGTAAATCCTACGTCCACGGGCGCAACTAGATTTTATATTAACTCACTATAAGATTACAAATTGTAATATCACTCGGCATTTTTGTTGTTCTGCGCTACGCTGCTGCACACTTTCTTCTTGCAATACATACATACATATATATATATATATATATATATATATATATATATATATATGTTTGTGAGCCGCAATTTGCACATCAAATTGAGCCGCCATATTTGAATTGAAGTATATGCCGTCCAAAACTATTCCACCTAAAATGTGCGTCCATTCAATATTAAATAATTAAACCACCGTCCATTTTTCCATTAAACAATACAATTAAATTGTTTAATTTGCTAAGTTACATTTATGGCCCTTGAACTTTTAGGAACTTGTCAATTTGTTCATGACTCCATAAATCTTAACAATCTCCTACTTGGAGGCTTGAACAAATTATTCTTTCTCCGCCATCCAACTCTTAATTACTCCAGTAATCTTAAAAAACAACCAAGTCCTTCAAGCTTCCAGTTCCAAAGAACAAGCTAAAACTTAGTCTGATTTTTCTAGTTGCAGCCGCCCCTCATCATCAATTACTAGAAGGGCCAGTTGAAGCTCCCACTAGCTCCAACTCAGCCGTGGCTAATCCCACCACCAACTCATCCTCTGTCTCAACCGGTTTGGACACTCCACCAGATCCAAAGATACACCGAGGACCACTAACACTCTCCAAACAAAGCAAACATCCAACAGGAGAGAAATTTTCAGTCTTAGTCTTCAAAACCCAACGGCTCTTTGTAACTGTACCCGAAACATGCCCCGTGCTCCCACTGTCACAGAATCTCCTGACTGGTTTAGACTTTCCGACTCGTTCAGCTAACATCCCATTGGCTCCAGAATTCATGTTTGCAAAATGAACTCTCTTAGTCGTAGATTTAGCGAACCAGATTTTGTCTTGCTTAACAGGGACGGTCATACTTCCCTCAGCAGGTACCTCAACCATATACAATGACCCACACTTCATACCACGAGCAATCACCAGATCACCATTGACCACCCTCCATTTACCACTTCCAAACCTTACTTCCAGTCCTTGTTTATCCAGCTGACCAACAGAAATCAATTTCTTCTTCAGCTCCGGAATCACCCTGACATCCTTCAGGCTCCATGTAGTTCTTAATGAAGTAACCAAATCAATATCTCCCATGCCCGTTACCTGAAGCATCTCGTCATTTGCCAACCGTACCTTCCCAAAATCTCCTTCTTTTAGATTCACCATCGTTTCCCCGTTGTCCATGGCGTGAAACGAAGCCCCTGAATCCATGACCCAAGAGTCTACAGAAATTTCCATACTGAGTATCAATGCATCATCCTCAGACACACTCTCAGCACCAGCAATGTTCAATTCTTTCTTTGGACATTGACTCTTAACATGTCCCACTTCTTGACAGTTCCAGCATTTCACATTCTTCAAAGATCTAGAAGAACTTTTTCCCCGACTCCCACTGCTCCTGCTATTCCCTCTACCTCTTCCGACATTTAATAAATCAGAAGAGGAAGATCCACCTTGATTCTTGCGTCTGATATCCTCGCCTAGAACCAAATCTCTAACCCCTTCAAAAGTCATACCACTGGTCCCCACGGAACTTGTAACAGCAGTAACTGTTCCGGACCAGCTATCAGGTAGAGAAGCTAGTAGCAGCGAAGCTTGAGTCTCATTATCAAATTTAATTCCCACAGATGATAATCTGGACAGAATTGAATTTAGATTGTTAATGTGAACTGTAACTGAGCCTTCCTCATTCATCCTTGTAGTGAACAGCTCCTTCATCAAGAACACCTTGTTAGCCGCCGATGGTTTCTCATACATATTTGAAAGAGCCTCCATCATACCACGCGCCGTGGTTTCATTCATGATGTTGAAAGCAACGCTCTTCGTCAACGACAATGTAATAACCGCCTTGGCTTTCTTGTCCTTTGAGTTCCACGCATCTTCAGCAGCTTTTTCAATTTTCTCCGGTTTGTCTCCGAGTACCATGTCCAAGTCTTTCTGACATAGCAATGCTTCTAATTGCATTTTCCACCAGCTAAAATCAGAACCATTGAACCTTTCGATTATAATCTTGTCTTCAGCCATTACGGCAAACAAAAAAAAAATTAGGTACACTCGTGTGTGACAGAAAAAACGATCGTACCCTCCAAAACCTCGCTAACCAGGCTCTGATACCAATTGTTAGGAATTGAGACAGGGTACACGCAGCGGAAACACTATCACACACACAAACACACGAAGGAAATAAAGCAAGAAGGAACACAAGGATTTTACGTGGTTCGGATTCGGTGTAAATCCTACGTCCACGGGCGCAACTAAATTTTATATTAACTCACTATAAGATTACAAATGGTAATATCACTCGGCATTTTTGTTCTGCGCTACGCTGCTGCACACTTTCTTCTTGCAATACATACATACATACATATATATATATATATATATATATATATATATATATATATATATATATATATATATATATATATATATATATATATATATATATGTTTGTGAGCCGCAATTTGCACATGAAATTGAGCCGCCATATTTGAATTGAAATATATGCCGTCCAAAACTATTCCACCTAAAATGTGCGTCCATTCAATATTAAATAATTGAACCACCGTCCATTTTTCCATTAAACAATACAATTAAATTGTTTAATTTGCTAAGTTACATTTATGGCCCTTGAACTTTTAGGAACTTGTCAATTTGTTCATGACTCCATAAATCTTAACACGATTGCGGCTTTTGCGATAATGACAGTTGAAGATTCAAAAAAGTTGCTTTTACCAGAATTCTACCCTTCTTGGGTTGTTTTCTCACAGAGACAGAAGTTGAGTGATACTTTTCTACCTTACATTCTTCCTGCTTTTGTACTTTCTCTCCGCTTTCTTTCTATCTTCTTCAGGGACTGATTATTCTGCTTAATCTTTCAGTTGACCTGGCTTAATAACTATGGAGTTGGAAATGAATTGGGAGTTGAAAATAGTTTATTTCAGGAAACAAATTGGTGTGCTTTAGAACACCAACTATACAGGTCCAAACATTTCTTTGGTTTGTAGACATTGTTATGCCAAATTAATTTTCAATATGTGCTTCAATTTCACAATGAATTCCAACACAAAAATTTGTTAATATATGAATTATGAGCACAGACAAGGTTCACAAATTCATCCCTATAATCAAACACACCTTCAATCTTACAAGTTGATCAAGATGCCTCAAGTGAAGATTATAGCTAAGAATTTCATGGACATGGTGTCCTCCTTACCTGCCATGAAGCTCGACAAGCTATACGAGAATGCCTTCATTTGTGAAGCTATTCTCAGGTTATCTGTTTAAGTCCGTCACTTTTTCATTGTTAATATATGTTTGATGTTTGATCATTTACACAATGTGTTAACCACATTTTGTTGCTCAGGTGTTTGCCACCATTGGCCAAAAACTATGTTCTCCAGTTGTTGTACATAGATGTGCCTGTGTCAGCCAGTTCATTGCAAGAATGGGTTCTTGTTGATGGTGCTTCAAAGCATAGAGTTGCTGTTGATAGACTCTTTCAATTGAGAGTATTTACTGAACCTGTTGATAGGTACATGTGTTTGCTTAATTCCCTTTTACTTTTTTCTTTTTCAAACAGAGTTCCCTTCACCTATCTGGTTTATCTTTTGATGGATGATTTTTAGTTCATTAGATCATTGCCTACTTCATTTGCCATTTAATTCAAGATTATATAACCTTCTGAATTAAGTCTTATTTGCTGAAGTCCTGAATTGTGTCTGCAGGAAGAAGGAAGCCACTTACAGGTTAAACCTGATGTTTCAGATGAACCTTCGGAAGCATATTGTTCATGGGTAAGTCATATGACTTAGTGGACTTAATGGTGATATGACTTAAATCACTTAATCTGGTATGATATATGTGTGTGTCTCGTTTTGACTTAATGTTGAAAGAACGACTTAATGGGAAAAAAACTTATATACCTCTATTGTTGAAACTTGTATCCCAACTCATCTCCAATGCTGATTGCTTATGCGTGTATGTATGTATGTATGTATGTATGTATGTATGTATGTGACATTTGAGGTGGTTTTTGTAGTGGTGTGTTACCAAGAGAACCTATGGCGGAAAATATAACAGTAAGACTCCCAAGCTTAGAGGAGTTAGACAACTATGCTGCTCAACAATGGGAGGTATGAAACCTTGTATAATCTTTTTATGTACTTTGTGTTACTTTCATTAAATTGTGAAGAATATATTTCGGTTTCTATCTTTAATCATTTTGCAGCTTCAGTATCTGTATGTTCTCTTTGATGACTTGCTATTGTGGCAATTTAGTGTTTCTTCCTGCATCTCATAAACTCTGTTGAAGTTGAGGTTACAACAAAGAGCATCATGATGGTTCCTTCCATGATGAAAGTCTCCCAACGAGGCCTTTTAAGTCAAAGGTGGTTTTCAAATTATTTCTTAAAATTATATACCATTTTTCTCTTTAAAGTATGAATCTCATGATGGTTGATTCACATTTCCATAGGGACAATGAAGGTTCTCGGCTCACAGAAAGTGGTTTTCATTTCCTGGTATGAAAAATATGTACTTGAATTTATTTATATTCTGTATTTTATTAAAATTATTGATATCCGTTTTTTTTGCATTACAGCTAATGGATACCAATGCACAGCTCTGGTATATCATCAGGGAGTATATCAGTAATTCTGAGGTATTCATATTTTTTGCATCTGTATCCAATTTTGACAACAATTTTTCTATATTCTCTAAATACTATATTTTGAGTCCTTTTTGAACTTTTTATGAACAGGACAGAGGAGTGGACTCTGCAGATCTGATCTCATTTCTGCTAGAACTTAGCTTTCATGTTACTGGCGAGGTATCAAATTTTTTTTAATATATATATTTTAAAACATAAATGTGATTTGAAAACAAAAACAGGCATATAATATGAACACTTTAGATGAGATACAAAGGATAACAGTTAAAGATCTTGCAGACTTGGGACTCATCAAACTCCAGAACTGCCTTTGTTAAGTTGTTTCTTCTTTAATATAAACATGGACCTACACATTCATAGCAGAATTTCATGTCTGATAGCTGAAGGTGCTTCTAGAAATGCCTTTAAGCCTTCTAAAATTGTGAATTAGTCTATTGGGTTTTTCTTTTATTATTGGCAAGATTGCATATTGGGTGATGATGTCAACTCTGACCAACCAAGATTTCAATTATTCTTTTAGCAGTTCAAGTACAATATACTTAATCTGTGATTAGATATCCCTAACCAGTTTGTAAGGTAAGGTCTTAACCTGTCTCATATTGGTCTATGTAAGCTTTCAACTGGGCCATTTGTTTATTTTTTGTTATTTGACTTCTATACTGAAATAAACTTTCAGTTACATCCTCTCTCTCTCTCTCTCATATATATATTTAGAAAAATAAAGTTTTAAGATTGCTAACGGTTAAAACTTTATTTAATCTTAATCTCTTTTCTTAATCCAGGGTTATCTTCTTCTCCACTGATGCTAATTCCATTTTTGCCCTTCAGATTCCAAATATACCGGGCAGGGGAGCTTTACAAACATAAATCATGGCTTTTAAGGGCTTTACATCTTATAGTTGGTGGAAGGTGTGTACAATAACAATATAACATGCATATACTAATTTTGTTTCTATTAATTCAAGTTTCTATTAAAAGATTCAAGTGTTTTTTTAATTATAGGTTTTGATGGGGAGGCTTTTGGAAGGTATTTAATGAATATTTTAATTACATGTTTGGAGGAAGAATGAATATACAGATGTCGAGCTTGATAGGGTGCGTGAAAAATGGGATACTTATGTCATAAACTTAATTTACGAGTGATATGTATTTGACAATTACTTTTTGATGAATTTGGAACGTATTTTTGAATTTGACACTATAGTTTGTGTAATTTCGACAATAAATTTGTAATTTAGTTTGATTAAGATTTGGTAGAATATATATATATATATATATATATATATATATATATATATATATAATTTAAAAAAACTATAAAACCATGACATACAAAGCATGTCGTAAAAATATGTCAAAAATCATATTGTACAAAACATGTCGTAATTTGAAGTCGTAAATGGCCGTCATAAATACAAAAAAGTTACGAATTATGACAAACAAAGTCAGTCGTAAATATATGTCGAAAACGCATGTCATGTATGTATGTCGTAATTGTTGGTCATGAAAGTCTGTCGTAAACTTTATGACAGACCTAATGTCTGTCATTTTCCTTTATGACATGGCTTTCAATGACAGACATTTGTCTGTCATATATAGGCATTTATGACAGACATTGTCTGTCAAGGAAAACCTTTTTTCTAGTAATGCATGTATGTGTGTGTTCGTGCTTTAATCTTACCCTTGACTGTAATTTTGGTGCAGGTGCTAAAGAGTCAACTTTTCGTGGAGAAATTCTGTGAAAGTGTTCATCATTCCTCCCTAGATTACTTGTCTGGTGGATGTGAATTATCTTTAACATAGTACAATCTTACTTGTATCATGCCACACAGTAGCAGAACAACAGCTCATAGAAGAAAATGCAGGAGAAGCAATTGCAGAAAAAACATTGATCTGATAGTTATCAACAGGTGTAAAACTCGAACCAGAAAAAATATGGACCCCACCTCTTAGAAACGCAACAGCAACCTCACCACCATGAGCAGAATAGACTATGCGAACAAGGGTTCTAACATCTCTTGGCAAATCAAAAGGATCAAAAACAACCCTTTTTGCCTTCTCAATGTCAGAATCTGACATGTTTATACCCTCAGAAGTGGATCCTGGTGTAGGTGTTGGATTGTTTTTAAAGTAATCAGTAGCTGGAATGCTTTTATTCACTTTTGTGACCCACAGTGTCTGCATAGGAGGTTGTCCACCAAAAGTAGATGTAGGATTCCCAAATATCGGATGCAGGACAACAGGCTCTAAAGAGGATTCCCATCTTTGAACTCTCCATCCAGTAATTGAAGGACCTTCATCTGGGTCATAGGGAGACATGTATTGACCTACATAAACAATGTCAACAGTTAACAAGTAAATGTAAATGGAGAAGGTTGGAAGGTTGAAAGGTTAAGCAATTTCAACAATTACAATAGCAATAACAGAGCCACCACAGGTAGGGTCAAAGGCAACTGCAGTGACTCCAGAACCCCATGTAGTTGTTGCTGCTAATTGAGTTGAAGCTTCAGGACTCACATAAGTAGAAAAATTCGAAACAGGAGAACAATGAAGGGCAACCATGTCACTATAATCCGCTCAAGAATCGCGAATCCAGAGACGCCGCGATTGTGGGGGCAGCGATTGATAGATCCGCTGCTTGTTCGACGGTCCATTTTCCGGTCCCTTTCATGCCTGTTTTATCCAACACTTTGTCATCCGTCTCCCTTGTCGTCCTTGATTCTGAAGATGTCTGCGATGATTTCAATCAAGAAGCTTTGAAGCTCCCCTTGATTCCATTCCAAGAACACTTTGTGTAGTTCCTCGTTCGAGAGTTTCCCAACGGATTTCAACACGTCGTATGCTTCGGAAATCAGCTACATGTCGCCATACTCGATTCCGTTGTGGACCATTTTGACGAAATTACCGGAACCGCCTTCGCCGATGTATGTGACACATGGACCACTGTCGGGTACTTGAGCGACTATTTTGAGCACGATGTGGAGAAGTGAAGCGGTGGAGGTTTGAGAATCGAGAGAGAAGAAAGAAAGAAAGGGGGTTTTCGACAGGGACGAGCTAGCGTTTTCAGCCGGTGGAAACAAAGCGGAGTTTTTAATTTTTTGGATTTCATTTCCCCCCCTTGAGATGCAACGCGGGTTTCATTAAAATTTATAAAACGACATGGTTAGACGACACACATTTTATTTAAGGTGCCCTCCGTGTTTTTTTATTAAACACTAATTTTAGGGCACACAAAAATGCGTGTCCTAAATCCTATAAATTTTAGGAGAGATGACATTATTTTTACGTCACACACTTTTGCGTATCGTAAATCTGTGCGTATCATAAATTGCGTGTCATTAAAGGCCTGTTTTCTAGTAATGTTTCACGTCTCTCAGTTGCGGAAAGGTTTCGTTGATGATTTCGTGGTGGTTCCATTGGAGGATATTCAGTTGGATGATCGCCTGAATTATATTGAGAGATTGATTTCCATCCTTGACAAGAAGACAAAAATCTTAAGGAACAAGGTTGTTGAGTTGGTGAAGGTGCAGTGGCATTACCCAGAGTTATTTGCGGCAGTGGACTTCGAGGATGAAGTTTGATTCAAGTGGGGGAGAATTATAACACTGTATCTCCTAGTTTTTCCCTTAAGCCCTTCATTTTTAAATCTTTGCAAGATTGGTCCCTAGCCGAGTACATTGAGTGTATTGGCTCTCAAGATGGTCGAGGAGGTGCCCACGTACGATGGGCGTACGTGGGAGTATACGGGGCATAGCTTGGTTGGAACCATCAATTTGTGCCCTATTTAATCATCTTAAGTTTCCTTTGGGTTTCTTATGACCAACCTCCATCTCTCAAAACCCTAGGAATGAAACCCTAGCCCTCATTTAAGTGTCTGTGAGACTTTGTTGTGATTTTGATGTGTTTTTGGATCCTTTGAAGGAGGTGAAGCTTTGGTGGACTTGGAGCTTGAAGATCCAGAATCTTCATCAACTTTCCAAGTTATTTGAGGTATAAAGATCCTAAATTGATGGTTCCTTATGATAGACCTACTTTAGGGCTTGTTTTTTATGCTTTTTATGGTCCTTTCAGCCATGGTTGAGAGTATGAGCTACTCCAAAAGCTAGGATGGTACATCTTGTCATTTTTTAGGTCTCTTGTTCATAAAATGCAATCCTGATGAGTAATTTTGTCCCATGCATGAGTTAGAGTTACTCTTATGGTTTTTTTTTGAGATTTGGGCCCCATTAAGTCATGAAAGAGTGTAAAGTTGCCAACTTTATGTGTTAAGACACCATTTAGGATCAGATCTGAGAGTTTGGCTTAGTGGCTTAACCAATTAAGTGCTTAATGGTAGGGTTGGTTGTCTGTGGAGTACGATGGGCATACCTAGCTCGTACAGTGCGTGTACTAGCCCCGGAGGTAGTATGCTGGGCGTAAGTCTGAGTACGTCGGGCGTACTCAGCAACTTGACTTTTTGTTGACTTTTGTGCGTTGGGCCAATAGTCTTTTTTGACCTTAGGGCATTATTAGGCTTTGGGCCTTCTTGGATTTAGGCCCATAGTGGGTTATGGGCCTCATGTAGGAAGTTGGGCCATATTGGGATTTTGGAGCCATTGGATTAGGCCTTGGTTGTTAGGACAAGTGAGGAAAGGGTAAAACGGTCTTTTACCTTCGGAGTTAGACAAATAAATGGGATTCATAAGTTATAGTTAAAGGCCCAATTGTTAATTGGAGTTTTATTGATTATTTAGTGCGGGGACTTTCCAGATCAACAGTCCGAGCAGTTAACTGGTTTCCAGCAGTTTGAGGTAAGTCTCCTCTCATTGTTTAGCGGTTCGAATGCACAAATGCCTGCACATGATTTACTATGGTTAGGATTCAAGTTGTCTTTGTGACTCTTGCATTTGTGGTATGTGATATGCATACCGGGCAGGGTCTGATGAGTGTATTTTATGCTATTGTCTTAGTGATTTTTTCATGTGTTTATGTGTCTATGTGTATACCGAGCGGGGATCGATGGGAGGCGGGGCCTAATTAATGTGATGAGCCAGGGCCCATCTCATATTATTAACAAATCTATTCTGAGTGGGGCCCGATGTCAGGCGGGGATGATGATTGTTGGGCATGGCCCATTCTATGTTTTATATGCATGGTATGAAGTATTTTGAGGGACTCAGTAAGCTTCGTGCTTACGGTTTTAAGTTTATCTTTCATGTACTTCCGGATCAAAGGTGAAGAGCTCGGGATGATCGCATCGCACACACCATATTCTTCTGCAATTTTATGTGAATCTGATATAACTGGATGATTATTGATATACTCTAATTTTGTTATGGTTTTTTTGAAACGTTTTGGATGATGGTTTTATTATTATCAAAATGAAAGTTTTGGTCTTAAAATTTAGGACGTTACAGTGTAGAAGGTCAGTTAAGGAATGATTAGTCACTCTCGAAAGATTAAGGATATGATGTATGCGTATCCTAGTTGTAGGTTTGTTTTCGGGCACTTTGTGATGATCCATTGAGACAAATACAAGTTGGTATGAAAGCTAGTATGGGCCCGTACTATGAGAAGCACATGACCCGTATGCGTAGCAAGGAAGTCACAAACTCGAGGGTTTAGTCTATCTGTGATGGTATGAATTGTGGCATTTATGATATATTTTGGTTCAGTTTCTGTATGGTGTTCACGAGAGGATCTACTTCTGGATCTAGAGCAAGTGGTCAGGATAGACCGAGGTTGACTGACGGCCAGATACAAGAGATGATTGCTGATGAGGTGGCTACTGCTGTCCGGGGTTCTATGACAGAGATGTTTAGGTCTATCAAGACTGTTATGATTGAGCTATTCGACGATCGATATGTTGCCCTAACTGAGGCCGCCGCTGCAGCAGCTACGATAGCTTTTACTGTTGTGAGGATTCGAGGGGAGAGAACAGTCCAATATCGGACCTCAATAACACGAGCCCTCAGAGTTTGATGGGGCCAAGTACCTTATTGTCGCGATGAGGTTGTCTGATATAGAGGGTTCCTTCTTCATATGTTTATGCCTAGATGACCAGAAGGTCAAGTGCGCCTTGAACCTTCTCCGGATAGGGGAGAAGCATTAGTGGAGATTGGTGACCAGTTCTTATACACCTGAATAGAGGGCCACTGTTACTTGGGGGCAGTTCTCGGAGATGTTTCGCACGAGGTTTCTTTCCGTGGTAAAGAGGGAAAGATTGGCTCAGGAGTACCTGGATCTGAGACAG